TTCCCAGGGTTCCAGTGTTCCCAGGGTTCCAGGGTTCCAGGGTTCCCAGGGTTCTCAGATCCCAGGGTTCTCAGGGTTCCAGGGTTCCAGGGTTCCCAGGCTCTAGGCTGGTCTGCCTCTTACCTTTGTTACTGGAAAGGGGCTCTGATCTAGACCCTAAGAGAGGTTTCTTGAATCTTGTGCAAGAAAGAATCCAGGTCGAGTCCACAGAAACAGGTTTATTAAGAAAGTAAAGGAATAAACACTGGATGCTCCGTAGACAGAGTGGGCATTCCTGAAAGCACCGGAGGGAAGGTGCTGCCTTAGTGCAGTGCGAGTTTATACATGAGACAAGAGCCAAAAGGTTACGGGGAGGTGAGCTCTGCTCGGTCTCCGGAGAAAGGATAACTTACCTGTGTGTAATTACTGTCTTTCGCAAGAATCTGCATTGTTATCTTCAAAGTGAAACTCATTCTTAAACCAAGAATGCTTTTTCTCCTAAGACATTGGACATCAGGACCTTATTTCCTGGGTCTGTTTGGCAAACATGATTACCTTGTTCCCTTAACTGTAATGTCCTGGTGACTGAACACCTGAAGTCCCAGAATCCAGCAGGTGTCAGCCTCATTTTACCCAGACCCTATTCAAGATGGAGTTGCTCTGGTTGGAGGGCCCATGACACCACGCCGCCAGGAACACCAGGGGCTTGCTGGGTAGAGTGTGGCTCACAGAGTGCGGCTCAGAGCTGCAGGCCCTTCCCACGCTGGACCTGGAAGACCTGGCGGCCACTCAGAGCTGCCAGAGTGCTCAGGCGATGGCCCCTGGGGAACCCACATGGACGCTGCACAGAGAACAGGACAGAGGCCCCATGGGGACACAGGTTGGGGTGCGGGACAGAGGCCGAAGGGGGGAACAGAGGTGCAGGGTTGAGGGGAAGAGGCCCAGGTAGGGGTCAGTGGCTGTGAATGGGGTAAACAGAGGCCTGGGAGAGGGTCCTGGAGTAGGGGGCAGAGCCCGGGGTTGGGACAAAGTCCCAGGGGAGAGGCTGGGGAGCAGGGGACAGAGGCGGGTACTGAGGTTGGTAGCTCCAGAGGGACGCCCTAGGCCGGGGAGGACTGGCTGGGCCTCAGTGGCTGGTGGCTGGGCAGGGCCTGCAGAAGGGGCAGGGCGCTGGCACCAGGCCTGGGGTCCTGCCCCAGGTGGCTCTGGGGGTCTGGTTGCAACCCGTGTGCCTCTCCACCAGCTCCCCCACAGGAAGGGGCCACACACCCCAGACAGCCTGCGGCTCGGAGACTCTGCCTCCCGTCGTCCTGCTGGGTCTCCCGAAGGCTGACCAGGTTCCCTCGGAAGGGTTCGGAAGCCCCTGGGCCAGCTTCCCCTTTACAGAAGAGGACAAGGCCTGGAGGGACGGGAGCAGGTCTCCACAGGACCCATCTTCGAGCTCGTGAAGGCCTGGCAGTGCCCTCCGGCCCTCCCTAGGGGCATCAGGCATCTGGGGCCTCAGGCACTGGCCCCCACCCCTTCCCACTCGCCGCCTCGTGCCCTGTACCAGAACCTGTACCCACCCGAGCTCTGTGGCCTGAGGTGCGTGGTCTGATTGCGGAGACCTCCGGGCCCCTTTGCCAGCAGCAGACTCTGGTTGATGGTGCAATTCTAGGTCCACCATGGGTGAGCAGGAAGGGCAGTGCTCCCCGCTTCCCTGCGAGTTAAGCGGGGTCTCCCCGACAGGCACAGCCAGGCCCCTGCGCACTCATCCCTGGGTGGTTCAGGGGTGCCCGCAGCCACAGGCCTCCACAATTCTCTTTTCTGGCAAAATGAAGTGTTTATTTTAAAGTTGCAACGAGACGGTTTTCTGTTCCTGTTCCTTGCTACTGAAAGCATTGGGAACTGATCCAGACCTCAGGCTGAGCCGGTCCAGGTGGGACAGGCTTCCCCGCCCACCGGTGCTGGAGGGCCCTGCTGGCCGGGAGCTCCAGGAAGGGCTGAGAGGCAGGGAGGACCCAGCCTCGCCTGTGGTTTGATGACGCCCAGCCGACGTTTCTCCCCTTTCCGCTGCATCTTGTTTCTCACTCATCGGGTCTCTTCACGTGGAGGTGGAGTTGTGCTCCCCGGAGCCACGGTCCGGAGCCAAGGCCGTGGGAGTCAGAAGCTGCATGAGGTTTTGGGGAGGGGCGTGGCAGGTTCCCTTTCCCTGGGTTCCTGGGCTCCCTAGCCTGGGGCAAGGGGCAGGAGCCTGAGGCGCTGCAGGGTCAGGGCAGGGTGACGGCTGTGAAACCCAGGAGTCCCTGGGAGGCTGGTGGCCTCCAGAGCTGAGAGGGGAGAGAAGAGAGAGCTGGGTTTTGCCCGGGTGCGGCGTGACTCGCAGTGCACCTCAGAGCCTGCTGGGGACACCACTGAGCCAAGGGAGCCGGGCTCAGAGGCTCACCGGGGGCCCAGGCGGGGCTGGGGGAGGGCTGGCCTCGAGGCGAGCTTCTGCAGCCAGCTCCTCACCTGCTCCTCCACTGCAGGGACGTCACTATTAAGTCCAATGAATTAAGAGACAAACGCCGGCGTGTTAGGAACGAATTCCACTCCTAGATGCCCGTTTCCATGGCAACGCTGGCTCCATCCCTCAGAGAGTGGGTGCCGGAGCAGCGCTAGCAGGCCGCAGTCCCTGGAGAGGAGGGAGCGGATGGACAGGTGGGCTCCGGGGAGAGTCCCATGTCCCCAGGGTTGGAGGCTGAGTCCTGCTCTCACTGTCTCTCCTGCACTCCCTCGGATCTTCCCCACCCAGGTTGCCCCACCCAAGTATCTGAGTCCGCCTGTCCCCGAATGGCTGGTGGGTGGAGGTGGGGGGCTCAGTCCTGGGGGTGTCAGACACCCATTGTGTGTGTCCTTATATGGGCCTGGCCAGAACTCCCGGGGGAGGGAGGCGTGGTTAGGGTTTGTCCTATGAGTTGAGTCAGGCACTGCACCCCAGCTCTTGGTCAGTTTTGATGGCTGGGAGACATGGGTGTGGGCAGACCAAAGGGGTGCGGGAGAGATGGAGTGAGAGCAAACCTCTGGCTGGCTTCTCATGATGAGCAGGGGCGAAGGGGTCTGAATTCTTTTGGGGCAGGAAGACATAACTGCAGGGCTGACTTCTGGACTGTGGCCACCAGGGTCCCGGCAAGGCCCCTTCCGGGGACTGTGGCCCCTTGAGCCAGGGAGCTTGGTTTGATCCTCCCCAGACGGTTGCTTCCAGAGCACAGCCAGTCTCGGGGCAGGTGTCCAGGGAGGGGCTGATGTGGGCTCAGGAAAGGTCCTTGACATACCCAGGTTCAAATCCTCGAGGCTGCGAACGTGCCTTATATGGCAAAAGGGACTTTGCAGCTATGAGGAAGCAGAGGACCTGAGATGGGAGGTGGCTCCGGAGTCCCCAGCCGGGTCCCAAGGGTCGCCAGCCGGTACCTGTAAGCAGAGTCTGAGGGAGAGCTGACGGAAAGGCGGTGAGGGAGCAGTGGCTGGAGAGGCTTTGAAGGTGGAGGACGTGCCGTGAGCCAAGGAGTGCAGGCGGCCTCTTGAAGCTGAGGGCGGCGGGGTGTGGAGTCTCTCTAGAGAAAACAGCCCAGCCAGAGCCTTGACTTTAACTTCTGACCTCCAGAACTGCAGCATGAACTTGTGTGAAGTCACGAGGTTTGTGTGCTTTGTCCTGGCAGCCTTGGGAAACTGGTAGAGATGGACGTGGATTCTAGGGCTGGGGCCCTGCCCCTCCCTGCCCAGCACCCCCAGCCCCCAGTCTCCCTGCTGCCCAGGCTGGATGAGAAAGGGTGGCCCCTCTGTGTTCACTCCTGAGACTGACAGCATGCCCTGGGCTCTGAGAGGGGGCCCAGGATGTCTTGGTTGTGGCCATCTGCCCGTTGGCACCGCTGGCCCACCTGGCTCAGATTGGACTTGGCCTGGAAATCTGGCTGGCTCTTGGCTGGCATCCAGCTCCTCCCCAGCTCAGGCATCCTGGAGCCTGGGACACCCGTGGGAAGCAGCTGTGGTTGGCAGGAAGCCCTGGGATGGATCCTGAATCTGCAAGGCCCAGCTGTGGGACTTTGAGCTCCAGCCTCATGTCCCAGCTGCAGCCTTTCTTACCTCAGGTGGGCTGTGACAGGGCACCTTAGCCAGCTAAACATGATGACCCCTCCTGCTCAGAGCCTGTGGGTGCCAGAAGAAAGCCCTCTGTGGGCTGCTGGGGGTGGTGTTTGGGGTGGGTACTGGCAGTGGGCTGCTCTGTCCCTGTACTGGCCCCTCACCAGCTTCTAAAGCTGCAGGGACATGCTCAGCTCTCGTGCCTTTGGGCAGGGCAGGTGAGACTCCCAGGGGAGTCCGGCTGGGCGTTCTGCTTCCTCAGGGGCAAGGATGAGGGACCCAGCTGCTGGCAGGGCCCAGGACCCTGGGAAAAGACAGGAACCCAAGGCCGAGGCAGGTCCTACAGCCAGTGGCTTCAGACTGCACACCCAGAGGTGGTGTGGGCTGGGAGGGGCAGGGTCTGTCACACAGACCTGTGCAGGGCTTTAAGGCAGCTGTGCGCAGGAAGCATTTGGCGAACGGAGGTTACGTCGCCGGGCGTTTCTAAGTCGGGTGTGGTTAATGAGGTTTCTTTGGATCTTGAGGGTCTTGGGCTGGCTCAGGTGGGGCATATACTATGTTCACACACACATGGCAAGTGAAGAGTGGGGTGACGAGAAGGGTCCTGATGGCCAGAGCTCCCATTTACCCAGCACGTGCCCTCTGCCAGGCATGGGGCTGCAAGCCCTGACCTGCGGCACCCAGGTGGAGCCTCACTGCAGCCCACAAGGAGGGCTCTCCTGGACTCCCGCTTAACAGAGCCGAGTGGGAGGTGAAGGTGTTCCCAGGCCATGGAGCTGGGGAGGGCTGGACCTGATATTCCAAGCAGGCAGCCCCAGCCCCGCACTGTGCTCCAGCGAGGCTGTAGGCGTGCGTGTTTGTGCACACACAATTGCATGTGTGAGTGCGAAATGCAAGTAACAGAGGCACCCCAAATCATTAGCTTCCACATGGGAGAAATTTATTCCCCTCCCACGTAAGGGGACCCTGAGGTAGGCAGTGCCTTCTGTCGGCAGCGAGCTAGGCCCCTCTGGCCATGCTGCCCTGATGCCTGGTCCTGCCTCACGGAGCAAAGTGGTTACTGAGCTCCACTCATCTCTTCAGCCAACAGGAAGGGGGAAGGGGAAGGAGAAAGACGTGGTCCCTCCGTCTAAGGCATTTGCCTTGAGACCCTCAGCTAGGCATTGCGGGTTTTTTTACTGAGGAAAAGGAGAGAATAGTGAGCGGAGGCCTCCTGTGCTTGCTGGGATGAACTTGGCAGGCCGGGCAGCACTCTGGGCTTCCTGGTGAGTGGAGTGTAGAACTGGAGGGACCCAGGGGTTCTTTAAGTCTCACTTTGTACTTCTCAGAAGGGGAAACTGAGACCCAAGTGAGTGGCTGAGCTGTGACCCAGGCTGGGCCTCTGCCTGCAGTCCCAGGGCTGTGGCGAAGGCAGACCCTGGAGCAGTCACCAGCCCTGCCAGAGGAGCCCCTGGGGACCTCCCAGAATGGGCCATCTACCTGCCCGGCCCTGCTACCTAGTCCTGCTTCCTGAAGGAAGCCGCAGGCCCACTCCTCCCCCTCCCTGGCACAGGGTAGCCTGTCTGCCACCCCCAGGCTCCTCCATGACACCCATGAGGCTTCGGGCCCTGGGCACTGGAATCTAGAGTGCTGCCAGATGAGGCTGGAAAAATCCCATCTCATCTACTCCTCTCCTCCCATCAACTCCATGTGCCTCCTGCTCTGGCCCGCAGCCCCCTAGGCCTGTCTCTCCTAGGGGCGACTACCACCTCCCTCCAAAGCCTCTTCCCTCTGGACAGTGGGGAGGCCGCCCTGGGGAAGGGCAGGGCGGGCCCATGTGGCCACTAGCAGATGGAGGGATTCCCATGGCAGAAAGTAAAGGGTGAGGATTAGTTGTGGGGACCCCCAGGCATGTGGTGGGTGTCATCTCTGCCTGGCTGGGCTGGTGGACAACCCCACCCCCATGAGGGCTGCAGGTCTTGAGGCATGGTGGCCAAGGCCTGGACCTAGTGCCCGCGTGCTGCCGTTCTGATGCTCACAGGAACAGAGGAAGCCAGGAACAGAGGAAGCAACCGGGCAGGGGGGCCTGTGATGGCTGGATCGCCCAAGACACTCCAAATTCATTCTCCAAAGCTGGCGCAGGGGCAGGAGGGGCAGGTACCAGACAGAGTGCTGGCTGGGCCGGGGGTGAGTCAGGTGGGCTCGGGGTAGGGAGAGGCCATGGGTCAAGGGTCTCTTGGGGCTGGGAACGGCCGTGGTCAGGGTTTCCGGGGGTGAGGAGGGCTGTGAGTCAGGGTCTCTCAGAGGTGGGGAGGGGCTGTGATGAGGGTCTCTTGGGGTTGGGGAGGGCCATGGTCAGGGTCTCCCAGGGGTGGCAAGGGCCGTGGTCATGGTCTCCTGGGGTGGGGAGGGCTGTGGTCAGGGTCTCCTGGGGTGGGTCAGGGTCTCCCGGCCTCTATTGCACCAAGGCCGGCGAGGAGGGTGAGCAGGAGGGCCGTGCCCACAGTTTTGGAGCTGTCCCGGGGGCTGCCTGCCCCCTTGCCCAGTGGGTCCTGGACTCGGGAGCTCTGCCAGGGCGGGACGTTGCACAGGCTGGACTGGCAGCAGGTCATGGTCATCTGGGTCCCCTTGACCGTCTTGGTGAAGGGCTGGCAGCTGTCTGTACACCAGGTGGAGTGGGTGGTCAGGAGGCCTGACTCTGGGGAGGAGAGTGGGGAACAGGGGCTGAGGCTGGGCAGGGCCTCCGAGGTGGCTCTGCAGGGCTCTCTTAGGGCCCTCGACTTTCCCACTGCCTGGGGGTGCATGTGCTGGGGCTCCATGCCCACTTACCTGTGTTCCCGTGGGCAATGAGGGTGGTGCAGGTCTGGCCATGCCGGCAGTTCTGTGTCAGGTTACAGCGCTCGTCCCTGGGCAGGGACTGGCAGGTGTAGCACCGCAGCAGCACTGCGGACGAGCTGGGCTCAGGCCAAGGCTGGGTCCCCCGGGTCTCCTCCCACACCCCTGTCCACCTCCTCGTTCTCAGCTGTGCCCCCAAAGCCTAGCCTGCTGAGACTTCGGTACCCGCTGCTTAGACGGGCTGGTGACCCCAGCTTGGCCCTGGGAGCTGTGCTGTGTGCGTGAGCCTGTGTGTTCAGGCGTGAGGGATTTCGGGCCAGGAAGGGTGAACTTCCCATCATCACTCAGCTCCTGTGACAGTCCTGCCCAGGCTCCTGCTGTGGGACGGAAGACCTGGCGGTGAGTCTGACTCAGTCCTGCCTCCGGGAGCACCGGGCCTGGCAGAAGAGGACCTCACAGCGGACACCTCATGGGTGTGTGGGTTGGGGCTTGGGCTGAGGGCAGGCCTGGGGGCCCTGGGGGCGGGGGTGGGCTGGGTGTGGTGGGGCATGCTGGGAGCCCCAGCTTGAGGGGCCGGCAGTGGGTTGGATGCGGCGACTTGCTCTGCTTTGTTCTTCGGATGGGAGAGAGCAGAGGGTGGCCCCACTGCGTAGGGGGCGTGTGAGTGGGCGCTGAGGGTGGGCTCTTACTAGCTTTCAGCGCTTCCCTGGCTCCCCAGCCTGCAGCAGCCAGCCCAGCCCTCCCCTGCACAGGGCGGCCCGCCCTGCTGCTCTCTCTGCCCCACCAAACTGAACCCAACCCTGGGGCCCCTGCACCTGCTGTCTCCACCCTGGGCCCCATTGAGCCCTTCTCTGCCGGGTGAACTGTTTAACCTTTGCATCCTGACACCACTCACCCTCCCAGTTGGTGGCTTCTTCCCCTGTTCCCCACTCTGGAAGGCAACTGAGTGTATGGTGACTGGGAGAAGTGAGGGGTGCGCTGAGTGCTCCCCACTCTGCTGGAGGCAAGCTCACCGCAGGGCTTTGGTCTATTGGCTTCCATCACAGCCCTGCCCAGAACGCTCCAGGCAGAGCAGGGCCCTGGGGCTGGGTGGCCGTACCTCTGTCCCTGCCACCAGGGAGCCTGTTGGTCTCCTCTTCCACCTCGTCCTCATCCTCCTCGTCGTAGCCATCTGGCCTGTAGTCCTCATCCTCCTCCTCTTCCTTCTGCTGTGCCTGCCCTCTCCCTGGCCGTGCAAAAATGCTCGTAAGCCTCAGCTACCCAGATACTTGGGATGCCAGCTCTGGGCAAGTGTCGTGCCCCCCACTCCTTGGCCCCCACCTCAGGCCTCAGGGCAGCCTACCTGGTGTCACCTCTGTCCCCCGCACACCCTGTTCACTGTCCTGCAGCCAAGTGTGCCCTGGCATTGGCGTTACAACAGCAGCGGCTGTGGGCTGGCGCTTTATGATAGCCCCTCCTCACACCCCATGTAAATAGGGCCACAGATATTTGGGGACTCTCGGGGGCCCAGGCCAGCTTCCATCCATGCCTCTCTAGCCTGGGGGCTCCAGCCTCATCCCCTCCTTCTCCCTAAGCCCCTGCTGGTGGTCCCTGTGCTCCGGGACTGCGCCCGCTGCCCCCCACCACAGGGTTACCCTTTGCTCCGTACCTGGCCGCCCGCATAGCAGCAGGACAAGCAGGACAGGTCTGAGCGCCTTCATCTCACCGGACGCCGCTGTGTCCCTGACTCTGAGTCCTTGTGTGGGGCTCTGGAGCTGCGGTAAGTGGGATGAAGGGCATTGCCGGGGGCTCCCCAGTGGCCCCCACCAGCTCCAGCCTCAAACAATGGGCCTCACACTGGTCCCCAGCTCCAGGCGCCAGGCCAGGGACTGTCGTTTCCCTCCAGGACCTCTGGGGCCGGAGGGGAAGGAGAAGTCATTGTGGTTGGCCTTGGAGCGTCCTGTGCACCTGTACTGTGGCGGCCGAATGTGGTGCTGGCCACAGGAGCTGCTGGTCCTGCCCTGGCTTGCTGCTCAGTGCCTCGGCCCTGCAGGGCAGGACAGGGAGTCTTGCCTCGGATTGGGCCATGCCTGACACCCCCAACCCCATGTCTGGGCTCCACAGCCAAAGCTTGGGTCACAGACCCTCTATTTGCCAATCACTGGTCAAGCATCTTCATCCCAGAGCCAATCCCACCCAGGCCCTTTTAAGAGTGTTTAAATAAAAATACAGTCAATGCCCTCAAGCTAAGCCTGTGAGTTCACCTCCTCCTCACCCCACTCAGCAGTGTGCTTGCTGGGCCCGAGGCCTCCTGGCTGTCCCTCACTGCCACCTCCATTCTTTGCCCCTGCTGTTCCCTCTGTCTGCAGTGCTGTTCCTGCTTGTGTCCTGTGGAGAGCTTTCCAGAGCTGCTGAGCCTGCTTCCTCGGCCTCCAGCTGGGAAAGCCATCAGCCTCACCTGCCTTCTGCCCTTCTGTGAGAGACGGCTGCTCTGGGAGAGGCTTGGCACCTCGAGGCCTCTCCCCGAACCAACCCCCTCCACCAAAGCGGATGCAGAGCCCCTAGGGGAGGATGCAGAGGGCTCTGAGCCGCCCCTCTCCCCAGTGCAGCAGAGGGGTGGGGCAGCGGCCAGGGTTGGACGGGAGCCCGGAGCCAGGGTCAAGCCTGAACATCTGTGTGCTTTGGAGCTTGGGCCATCCACACCCCTCTGGCCTGGGGACTCCAGCCTCATCCCCTCCTTCCCCCTAAGCCCCTGCTGGGGGTCCCTGGAGGTCCCTGTGCTCCAGGATTGTGTTCGCCTTCCGAGACCTCAGTTTCCCCGACTTTCAACGGGTGGGGTGGGGCATTTTCTGGCCAGCCACCTGTAACAGAAGTTGAGTTGGTTCTGGAATGAGCTGCCTGTGTTTAAGACCGGGTTCTTCCTTCCCCTGGCTCTGGGTACTGGACTATCCCTTTGGGTTTCCCGGGCTTCAGCTCCTACATGGGATGAGGTGACTTGCTGGGCTTAGGACAGCGCCTGAGGCTGGGAACGCTTGTCTCTGATGTCTCAGCCACCGAGTCAAACATCTCTCCTTCATTCATCTCGAACCTGTCATTCTTTCCACTCTAAGGGCACCCACCCAGGGTCCAGCCCCTCCCAGTCCAAGGCTGCAAGGCCACTTTCCAAGTCAGGGTCGTCCACAGCGGTGCTCATGCGGACACACCCCGCAGGCCCCATTCTCTTCATACATGGCGCCACCCCCCAGCCCAGCCCCGCCCGTCCGCCTGTGGTCTCACCCCAACCTGCCTTCCAGCACCTTCTGGCTCTCGGCCCGCCTATCCCACTGCCCCGCCTCCCTATGGACTCACCTCCCCGTGGGACCCGCCTCCCCTGCGCCCTCATCCAGCCCCGACTCGCCCTCTCCCTACTTTTCCCAAGGTCTGCCCCGTCTCCCGGTCGCTCCACCTCCCCGCGCTCCGCCTCCCCCGGGGGCGCCCCGGCTCCCCCGCGCCCCGCCTCCCCCCCACCTCCCAATCGCCTCTTCTCCCCATCGCTCCACCTCCCCC